CAGTACACAAGATCATAAACATCTCTTCTTCAACACACTATCAGCGCTGGGTTTGTTGCACTGCGGGCTGGGAATCACTCTGGATAACTACCAACAGCACTTTATTATGTGTTTTGATCTCACTAGCACACAGCAGGCAGCTCATGACTTCTTGCATCCAGAACTTACTAACTGCTCAGTTTCACTCGATCTTCAATTCTCAAACGCTTTGACAGCAAACCTGGAAATTTTCGTTTGGGGTATACGCTCATCCAATGTATTTATTACCTCCGACCGCAAAGTTACAAAGAACGTCCTTCCCATTTCGACAGTCTGAAAATGGATGAAGTCCAGTTGCAGGACCTCATTCAGAATTGTAAACATCTGAAATATAAGTTTTTTGGAGTATTTGCAGCCGACAATTTTCCATCTCACATCCCAAACAACATCTTTATGATTGTGAACACTTCAAAATCAGATTCTCCGGGGACACATTGGATTGTGAAATGCAACAGAAGAAACGTTTTATACTTCGCTGATCCTCTCGGTCTTCCTCTCTGGCAGTACACCAATCTGTATAAACGATTGAACGAGAATTTTCATCAAGTGACTGAATTGATGACAAACTTTCCCATGCAAGACTCAAACTCTACCATGTGCGGTTCTTTTTGTATTTATATTGCACATTTGATTTTTGATAAAAACTTTAATGGTGATGCTTCTGATTTTGTTTATATAACTGATCATGTTTTGAAACGTTTCCTAACTCACATGCTTACCCATTAACTAACCATTTAATATGGTTGATATATACATTTTACAATTTAATTTTGAACAATACATTCTTTTAGTAATTGAAATTTTACCCAATTGTTAACTGAATAGCAGTAATTCGAGAAGTTAAGCTTTTTATCAAAGTGAGAAAAAAAGTACAAAATCGATCTATGGGGGATATCACCATACCAGCAACTGTTGCCTCCTTTCAGTACAATTTCCGGACGGGTTTCGAAACGCCGCCTCTCGGCTGAGAGTCGAGCGCCATGCGTTTTCCTCTACTCGGACCCCAAGAATTTTTGTTCTACTTCAATTTTATAGTAACAAGTTAGGTACAAGTCTTAGAAATGGTTGCAGCAAAATTAATGGGCACTTTTGGCTTTCATCAGTGTTCTCGTTTTTCAAGATCTTTAGCCACTTCAACTTATTAGCTCTTTCAATCTTTCTATAAAATCAAATTTTTGTCATAGATTTTAGACATCTTTCTATAAAATCAAAGTTTTTGTCATAGATTTTAGACGTTTATTTTTCAGTCTCCTGTAGACACGGAAAATGGAAATGTCAAAATTTCCAAGCCAATTTCGTCATTTTGAAGTTTTCAATGTTCCATAATTTTTCTTTGTTTTTACCTTCAGTTGGCTGAACGAAATTTTTCATTCTTATTTTGGTCAAATTTATTATTAATTTTTGCCTAAATAGAGGTGGCGGCCGCCGCACTTGACGAATTTTCCTTTCTTCGAGATTCAGCAATAAAACATGCGTTTTTGAAGGAAATCGTTCACCGCAGGCAACAGTTAAGCTACGCTGCCAAAATCTTGTGCTTTCCTATATACCATATAGTTTGGTCGCATATAATAGGTATATAACGTCATTTTACATGTAAAGAAACCAATACCCCCAAACTTTAGAAGGGAAAACATGCACCGACTAAAACTTAATTCCATTCCCGTTTCCACAACGTTCAGTGGGAATACTCAATAATATACCGAAGTTTTACATGAGGACTATTAGGTATAAAATTATACATGGTGACAATTAGGAATATTACATAGTGAACATTAGGTATAAAATTATACATGGTGACAATTAGGATTATTACATGGTGACCATTGCTGATCATTTAATACATGGTGACCATTATGATTTATACCTAATGGTCTTCCATGTATGACAACCCCCCCCCCCCCCCCGACCCTAACGCACTATATGCATACTACTGACTCATCAGGTTTTTGTTACATCATCTGGTATCTCAATAAATAGTGATTGTTTTAAACAGACATGAACTTCGAAGTTGCTCAACGTTGAAAAATACGTTTATAAATCTATGCTTGAGCTGTACTTCATACGATACGTACAACTCAACAAGGTCTTGTTAAATAGTGATTTTTTGATAAGACATGAACTTGGAAGTTGCTCAACGTTGAAAAATACGTTTATAAAACTATGCTTGTTCGAAATTGAACGTATCGTATGAAGTACAACTCAACAAAGTCTTGTTAAATAGTGATTTTTTGATAAGACATGAACTTGGAAGTTGCTCAACGTTGAAAAATACGTTAATAAAACTATGCTTGTTCGAAATTGTACGTATGGTATGAAGTACAACTCATCAAGGTCTTGTTATATTATCGAAGTTATTTTATTGAACTTGGAACATGCTCAACATTAAAAAATCCGTTTAGAAAACTATGCTTGTTCGAAATTGTACGTATCGCATGAAGTACAACTCAACAAGGACTTGTTAAATAGTGACTTTTTGATAAGACCTGAACTTGGAAGTTGCTCAACGTTGAAAAATACGTTTATAAAACCAGGCATGTTCGAAATTGTTCGTATTGTATGAAGTACAACTCATCATTATCTTGTTATATTAACTTCTGTACCATTATCGAAGGATATTTGCTCAAAAACATGAATTAATTGAAGTATGACTTATCAACATCACATTACATCATCTGCTATCTCAATAGATTTCTGACCATAAAAATAAGCATTGTTCAGTTTCGCTTAATCCAGAGCGACGAACTTGAACGATGAGTGCAGCCACCCAGTCATGTTGTTATCTTTCAAGTAAGCGAAAGCTATGTATGCTCTGTTCGGCGGATAGCTTACAAATCCTAAGACGTTTACGAACCTTAAAAAACCAAGAATACATAGTCTGTCTTATGAGTACCATATTTCAACATTTGCACCCGAGTGGCTCTGTCAATATTCTAGTAACCACCAAAAAAATTATGAAATGTCAAAAAACACTATCGAAATAGTTTTAATTCTAATTTCCTATTGTATCAATGCATGCATGAGAAAAGATTGGGCTGCGCTGTTTTTCTGTACAATGTTTTCTCAAATCAGAGCGGAAGTTAGCTTTTAATGGGACAATACATAACCACTATTTCACCGTTGGAGGCCCAACAGATTAAATGAGAAGCGGGTTCAACTGAGAAGCGGGGTTGGGGGTGGGGGACTTTGTTTGAAAATCAAAATCGTGTTCAAATTTTCTTCATAATTTTTAATATGACTCATGAAGGCCATCTTATTACATCATCAGATATCTCAAAAACTGTAATTTTTTGGCCATAAAATGAACATGAAAACTGTTTAACATCGAAAAGTTTGAATACAACTGGGCGTTGTTCGCTTTTTAGCTCTATGGTATGACTCATCAAATTTTTGTTACATCATCTAGTATCTCACTAAATAGTGATTTTTTGAACATACATGAACTTGAAAGTTGCTCAACGTTAAAAAAGACGTTTAAAAAGCTATGCTTGTTCGAAATTGTTCGTATCGTATGAAGTACAACTCATCAAGGTCTTGTTATATCATCTACTTTCTCAATATTGAGTGATTTTTGCTCAAAAACATAAAATTTGATCAGCATCGAAAGTAGCTTTTCAAAAACTATTTTTTTTAAAAATCATGTGGAGTATGACTTATCAAGATCAAACTACATCATCTGCTATCTCAATAGATTTCTGACCATAAAAATAAGCAGTGTTCAGTTTCGCTTAATCCAGAGCGGTGAACGATTGAACGATGAGTGCAGCGGCCCAGTCATGTTGTTATCTTGCAAGTAAGCGAAAGCTATGTATGCTCTGCTCGGCGGATAGCTTACAAATCCTAAGACGTTTGCGACCCTTAAAAAACCAAGAATGACAGGCTAGGTTGAAAAACTTATAGAATTGAGTATCTGACGTCAGCCAGTCATCAGTTGAGACTCGTTTAGCGTTCTGTCACTTAGTGATTTCCGAGCAAATGATACATAGATGTTTTAATTGCGCTTTTGTGTGGGTCACTTAAAAGTATCTTACTAATCGGGAAAAAATGACATTAAGACAGAGACATTAAGAATATGACCGATAGCTCAACTGGGAAAAACTGAATGAGTTAAAACTTTGAGTCAATATAATTTTTTATGTGACCCACGCCAATTATGAGTCTATATAATTGCTAAGTGTTGCAAGCCAATTATGACGCAATAGCAGTACCAGTCAATTTGAAAAAAGAAATTTACCAACTGGCATGTCTCAATTTATAGAGCGGACGCATTTTAACTAGTCTACGAAAAAGTTCATTAAAAAAATTCGACCTTGCGCAGGTTCGAAGCCTCTAATTTTTTTGCGGGTCGCCGTTCCTACCTCTACGCTAGAGATCAAAGATACCTTGAAGCTAACGTGCTAATTCTAATATAATAGTCTATGTTAATATCCTCAGCATTAACTGTACTTAGTAGCTGGTTTTTGATCTTATGCACATACTGCAATAAAAGAACACTTTCAAACACTAATATTTTCGACTTTGAACTATCTTTTCTGCAACCTAAGTCGAAAATATTAGTGTTTGAAAGTGTTATTTTATTGCAGTATGTGCATACTTGTGTAAACAAAAAATTTCTGTACGAGATCTTGCCTACAAGACTATTCTGCCAGTTGTTGTTTTCTTAAAGCATATTTTTGGCGTAAGAGAAAATGTTTTCAGTTCGCATGTTATAAATTTGAGCTAGCTTTTTCGAAAAACCGCTTTTAACCATCAATGAAAACAGCGGCAAAATCTTTATTTCAATCAGTTGACGCCTATGTTTTCGTAAAAAAATCAGGAGTTTTGGCTCTCACAAAAGCTCGGTTGTGACTGCACGCTCATCAGAAATTATGCGCTTGTTGGTTACAAGAACTTTCCATGAAAAAAAAATCATACGAGCAAACAAATTTAAACTTCATTTTGATCCTTTACACTTAATCAAAACATCAGCTGAAAATTATTTTATTGTTATGGGAAAACAAATATATTCTGGAAATATAAACTGTCTATATAGCAAACTTAATTATCGTTGGAAATCAGCAAAACATTTGCCTCTCAGTACAGTAGCAAACAATTCACATCCAATTATTAAACAATTCATCAACGATTACTCGGTCAATGCTGATACAAAAAGGCAGCAAAAGTTTGTTTATTGTGAACCAAAAACTTATATGAAATCAAGATTTTCTTCTGAGAAAAACGAAAAGAAACAAAACCGATCGTTAGGACGAGTTTGTGAATTTTCCATTGAAATATTTTAAGTCTTTAACCAACTTTTATAGTTTGGGTCATTTTTTGTTTTTAGAAGCCCATTACTCTTTGAGAAAGATCAGAACAAAAAAGTTCAGAAACCTGATAGAACTTTCGTTGCCTGTCATATTACAATTTTCTATGTTTATTCCGTAATAAGATTAGTCGTGACAAGTCAAAACTTCATTCATCGTTCAAATGATCCCTCAATCTTCATCACGTGATTTCTGTTCCACCGCTCTCCTAAAACAATTACAAAATTGAGACTCGTTCAAACAAGCAAAGAACTGATTAGGTCTGATTATTGAAAGCATAGCCAACATTCGAACTTCACTAGTAGAAATACTTGGCGTTAAAACTCTTTGAATTTCAAAAACAATATATGACTGACACATTTTTTTTGAAAAAAACCGATTTGAAAAAATTGAATCAATAGATAAATTCGCTGTTATTCCGCTGGGAAATGTTAGAAAACAAAATCCACTTTTTTAAACTACAATCGTTCAGATTAATGGCGCCATTTCCGCCTTTTTAATTGGAGAGCAAATATACTTGAATTGAACTGCAAAATGAAATCAAAAATATCAAATTTGGCGTGCAGAAAATCATCAGGCCATAAATTAAGTTTGCCATAAGCGTCATCACTACGTCCAGGACAATTAAGTTGAATTAAGTTAAGATAAAAGTTAAGTTTAAAACGGTGATGGATTTGTGCCTACAAGAAAAAGGGACCTTATGGCCTGGTTGGTCTGCCATGCCATCCAATGACGTTTTATCTTTTTTCTGACACCGAAAGTTGAAGGAAATAACAAAACCCCGTCTTTTGCAACTCAGGTGAGTGATATAAGAGATAAAAATTTGGAAAAAAAATCAAAGAAAAGTCTCGTATAATTTTCAGTTTGAGGAAAAGAAGACGAACAACTTATTGAAAACACGATCAGCACACACTCGCTGTGTTAAATAAGCATTCAGGAAAATTAATTGAGAAGCAACTAAGGCGATAATACTTGAGTAAACGCGCGTTGAGCAGAAAAATTAACTGCCGTTATGAAATTAACTGCTGAAATTCTAAAAATTTTACCGCTCCGAAAACGTGACAGCGACAACTCGCAACAAAAGACAAAAAATAAAGAACGCGACAATTCTGTTGGCAAGCTCGCATCACGTTGAGTACTTCTCGGGTTGTCTTTTAAGGCGAGCTGTCTTTCAACGCGAATAGTCCATCAATTCGAGTATTTTATTGCCAGATGTTGCATTACTTCCGGAAACACAACAAAAGGATTAAATTCGATTTTCAACTTCATACGACGCAAAATTAGGTCAATTAGCCGATAAAACATAAACCAGAACCATTTAGGCCCAAAATAGCTTTTAGGCGAAACAAAACAAAGAAGGAATTATATCAAATCAGAGTCAGTCAACTGACAAAAAAAACATAGCCAACTGACAGTTGGAAAAGAGTAATGAACGCAAAGAAACAAAACATATTGACTCTTGTTTTTTTGAAAAAAATGTCAACATTCGAAATTCGAAGAAAATAGATGACCTTAAACCTCTCTCAATTTATAAAACAATTTATCATTGAAAACTTTTAGATATATATAATCCAATGTGAGAAAACTTTATCAAAAAAAGAAATTTCTATTCCGCTGGAAAATCTGAAAATTAAATTCCAATTTCGAATCTAGAAGTCGATCAAGTTTTTCGTGAATTTCCACTTTAGCTGTTCGATAGTGGAATTTGCCTTCCTTTTACACAAAGGCAAAGCTGCGCTTCGCAAACACTTGCAAGAACACGACCACCAAGCACCTCTATCAAGTTAACTAGGAAGTAGAACATAGCCTCGAATTAGCAAAAACTCGGCTACCTGTAGGATTCGAATCTGCGACCTACAGCAATCATGAGATTTTGAGTATCACGCACTAGCCCCTCAAGCTTAACAACCGACAAACACTAGTCACGATTAAAGCAGCTAAATATGCTAACAAATTGTCAATGCGATTCAGCACCCAATACAAATAGACTCACTTTTGCAATTAATTTTGAATGAAAACAAACTGAAGGCATCCACACTAACTTTGCATGTATCAAATCGCAAAGCATAAAGCCACATTATGTATAAATTATACATTTCAATATATTGAGTTGAAAAAATTTCTGAATCAAGTTTTTATTATTGTGGTGCTGTTTGAAACGAAAAGCTTTTTTCGGTTCATTTGATGAATCAAAAATGCATCAACTATGTTAATTTATTAGTATTCGAATGTCTAAGCACATTCTATCAAAAAGCTGTAAAGGTGCCCCACCATTATTGGGGTAGCCACACCATAGAAGTGCCGCACCAATATTTGCGACTTAGGTTCGAAAAAAAGAAGGTTCGTACTAATACACTAGCTTCGCAAATATAAACAATGGAAATGCGCTGAGCTTTTTCCTGAAAAAAAAACTAACAAAAAACCCAAGACCTATATAACAGTCTTCACTACGTTCATTACTCTTCATCAAAAACGCTTTCAATGACATCGGAAACTGCTTCTAGCGAAATACAATTCAATGAGCAAGTAAGCCAAGAAAATAATCAGAACATCCAGAGGTCGAATTTTTTTTGAAACTGAATAGTTTCAGATTCGAAAACAAAACAGATTGCAGTGTCGGAGAAGTTAAGAAATTTGAAGTTATTGTTAAACAAGCTATCAAATTATACATTGGATTAAATAGCACTTTTATAGCACTTTTTTTGCGACTCGTGTTGGAAAACAAGTTGCATCGCACTAAATTCTACGCTCCGCTTGCGCTAAAAACATAGCCAACCGACAGTTGGAAGTGTCAAAGTTAGCAAAAAACAGAAAAAACGGACTTTTCTTCCAAAAAATTGTTAAAATTTCGAGCTTTTTAGTAAAAGGATATGCCTTTCAAGCGCTTCAAAACTCAAGAAAAATTTATGATTGACACTTTTTTATGACATTAACCTAATTTCAGAAACCTGGTTCATTAGATAATTATTTATTCTGCTTGGAAATCTATAAAATTAAAATTCACTTTCAAGACCTTCACTGCTCGATAGTGGAAAGTACCCTCTTTTTAACAATAGAACTGAACGTTTCACCACCATCAATGACACTTAATTAGGTACAAGATGTGAGAAATAATTAACTAACATCCTTATTTTCGAGCTGTGCTGGTAACTCTAGAGTTTTTGCACGCATATACTTTTACGGAAACAAAAAAAAGAAAAATAATAGCTAGCTAGCTTGCTTGCTCGCTCGCTCTCTCTCTCTCTCTACGGGGTTCGTATGATTAATGTCGCGTGAATTTATAAACTGCTTACAACTTGATTTGATTGTACATGAACTATTAATTAATTGAAAAGACATACAGAACCAACAACAAATGTAAAAATTTAATTTTGCCTTAAACATTGTAGGTAGACGCAGATGTAGTTCCCCCATGTCCCGTCCAGTTAGTGTGATGAAATTGTCCTCTGGAGTCTAGAAGTTCGTAAGTGTGCGCACCAAAGTAGTCCCGCTGAGCCTACAGCAATAAGATTTTTTTTTAAAAAACGAATTAAATATTTTGTTTCATATTCAGCCATCTAGTTTTAGAATGTGATCTATAGTATAATCATTTGTAATTGCATATTCAGTCCAATTTTCTTGAAAAAAATTTCTAATTGAAAAACTCAAATTCAATAAAAACCATGTACTCTGCTCTGCCAATAGCACTAAAATTTATCATTTGTTTATTCAAAATGAAGGAACAGTACTTTTTTGTCACATTTCTTACATCAATTTCTAATAATCTGAAACTTTCTTGTGTACTAGCCCCAACAGATTATGTACCATAGTTATTCGGATACCTGAATACAATTATGACAGACCTGTAGGAGATTGGCGGGTAGTTTGTCACACCTGTATCCGTCGTAGAAAGCCAAAGCTAAAAAAATTAAATACTGAGCCGGAAAATGTTAAATGTAAGGGTTTTTCAGAGCATGCTTCTTCATGGTGAATAGTTTTACGCATCTCCTTGGCGATAAGATTCTTATAAAAAGCAAAACTTCTTCGTTTCTTGGCCATATATTTTTTCTTTGATTTTATATCATCGCAATCTATTCAATTTCAAAACAAACATCAGATACCAGCTCAACTCAGCGGCGCGGTCAGTGAAGAGAAGATAACGCAATAACCTGCATTTATGGGATATCTTATTTTTAAAAGGATTTTGAATCTCACGCACTAACCACTCAGCCAGGGACACTTAATAATCGCAAACACTAGCCACCAATAAAGCAGAGAACAGATGCTATAAAAATTCCCAAGCTTCAAATCGTGATTATAGCAAAAGTGCCACCAAACGAGCACTTTTGTTTACGAGTTAGGTTCATTAAAAAAAGAAGGTTCGTAATAATACACTACGGTCGCTAGTGCAAAAAATGTGAACAAATAAAGGATTGGCGATCTATCAGAATCAAAAACAAATTTGAGAAGGAATCGGAACTAGGGATTTGCCTATACCAGTAAGTAAAATTTACTCACTAATAAATTAGTAGTAAGTCACCACTTTACTAACTAGATGTTTAGTTGAAAAAAAATACAAGTATCAAAATATCTTTGAAACAGGAAAATTTTAATTCAATTCAAAGATCATCAAGGTCAATGTCAGTGTAGTCAATGTGGTCCTGGAGGTCCATAAGTGCAGCGATACGCTGAGTTATGACTCGAAAGCTAGACTCCAATCGGGCAAAAAGACTTATAGTTAGACAACAAGCAGCAACTCCGATAATTGCGCGAAAAAAATACTAGTTACTCAAATTTTACTTACTAGTAACCTACTAGTAAACTAACAAGTAAGTAAGATAACTACTAAGTGGTGATTGCCACCCTAATCAGAACTCTACGGAACAGAGGGAACAAAAAGCAGAAAATAACCCACACCACCAAATTAAGCAAGAGAGCCTCGGAAATCAACCGGACCCCCGCTTGGAAAAGCTCAGAGTTTCGACTATCTATTTGAAGTAGTAACACATCCAAGATTAAAGACAAAGTCAATACCTGATGAGAATGCAGGCATGGGTACTCCATTCATAATTCCGGTGCAGCACACCTCCCTCCAACTCAATTGACTCCTGGCAACCTAAACAGAAATATTATTTAGGCTATTTGACATCTTATCGGCTGCGACAGATTTAGTCCCATGACAGATCTGGTCCTATTTTAATTTCAACAGATTTCGTACCATTTCAAAGCGTACACAGATTTTGTCCTACAAATTTGGATATGGGATGATAGGATTTTGGATATGGGACGAAATCTGTTAATTAAATAAATAGGACAAAATCTGCCTATCATCTTATCATTTTAGTTGAATATTTGATTGTGGTTTCTGTGATTCGCATAGGATCTATGAAATGCTGCACTGCCTGTCTAAGCATAGTCCGAAATATTTTACTATACATGGCAACTGTGTATGAATACAACAACGCCATATCTCGCGATTCGGTGAAACACTAGTTACAAAACTAACAGAGGCCAAGCTGCGCTTCGCAATCACTAACGAGAAAACGTGACATGACGACTGTCTGTGGCCCAACAAAAAGCGGAAAACTTGATACCTATAAGAAAACTTGTAGCGGAAAACATATAAATCGTAATTTGTAAAAAAAAATTTGATTGAAAAATCTTTCACAATTTTCAAAGAAAAACTTGAATTTCAAGAAAAGTTGAAGTTCAAGAAACTTTTTATATTTCAAGAAATGCTCATGATTGACTTCTGTCTTCGAGTGATCCCACTAAGAAAAAACTGGATCATTCCGCCAAAAATTCAGAAAATTAAAGACCATTTTTGAATCCAGAATTTTATTTTTGCCGCTCGATAGTGAAGTTTGCCTGAAATAAAAATCATCAAAACCTCGCTATAGCTCGCTATTTGGTGAGTAAGACTGGCTGGAGAAGATTCTACTTCTCTTGTTCTCCACACCCTTGTCAAAATAAAGTCTGAGGTGTCTTAAAAATGCGAGAGGCGAAACTACACTAGGCAAACCTTTCGGAAAAAGATGAATTTAAAATTGCAAAAAACGGAAACAAGGCTTCGCATTAAAAAAAGACTGGGCCTAGAGTTCGAATCAATCAACCGCTGGCATCTAAAATTTGAATTAATCGGCTCCCTCTATCACACTCTATCTTCCCAACACATCACAGATAAAGAAGTTATAGTTACAGCAGATGAAATTGAAAACACAAACAATTAGACACTTTCTTGGACACTTTTTGCATTTCGGACTGTTTTTGCCGGGACATAAATCTCTGAGACACAAATGTCCTGACACGGAGAATATTGAACTCAAGTAATAATAACAGCGTTTGCTTTAGTAACAACGGTAACACATTCGAAAGAGAATATTTCCAAACTGACTCAGTTTAGCACAACTTTTTGCAGCATATTTCAATTTATATAGAATTAACGAAATCCTGTATCAGATATAATTAAAGATGTTAATTTGAAAAAGCTTGTTGCAACATGTGGCTACTGATCTCACCTCCTGGTTGAAGAAGTCGTCGAGGAGTAGATTGTCTAGCGTGGGGTTGGTGGTGAATGCCTTTTTGATCCTACCCAGAAACACACTGCGGATGATGCAGCCTCCTCGCCACATCAGAGAGATACCTGTGATGTAATGAGCAGACTACAGCATAATTGCATTTGTTATTACATAATTCAGTGAGTTTAACTGGCTGGAGAAACTAATTCGGTATCTAGTTATAAATATAGAAGCAGTGAAACTCGCATAAATGACATATGCTGGTTTGGAAACACCCGGAATTTTACTAATTTAACATAAGGAGATATTATGATAAGATTTGTAGGCATAAGCTTTGCAATAAATATAAAATTTAGAGACATTGACCAAAAACATTCCGGCTGCTCAGTTCGCTTGAAAGATCTACCGTTCCATCTTAAACTAAAAACACAATTTCGATTACCGTTACCATACAAGGTTAAAAAAATTTATTTTAAATTTCTTTATTCAAACAATGACTTTTTCTTTCGATTGTTTGAATAACTGGCTTGATTTCTTTGGTTTACAAGAATTATACAGATAACCAACGCGCTAAATGAAAGCAAAAAGAAAGTCAAAGAACAGCAAACCTCCCATGTTTAGCGTCCATCCATACTCCTGACTAGTAGCTCGCATCAACATGAATCCCTGAGCATACGAAATGATCTTGGAAGCATACAGTGCCAACTTAATCGAATCTATCAGTTTCTTGTGATGTTCCAAGGGGTTGGCTACATTCTCTGATTTCGGTTTTGGTCCTTGGAGTAGCAAACTGGCTTTGACTCTTTCGTCTTTAAACGAACTTAGACACCTGAAAGATGCATTGCAACTATTTGTCAGGTGAAGCGGCACTTCACAATAAAAATGCCAACAAGCAGTAATAAAAACGTCAGAACATAGCCAACTGACATTAGGAAAAAAGTAATAAACACAAGGAAACGAAAAAAAAACTGACTTGTTTTTTAGAAAAAAAATCAAGTTTCGAATTTTACAGAAAAACATGTATGCCCTCTACGCTCTTTGAATTTTGAAAACGATTTATAATTGGTGCCGTTTGATAAAAACTAATCCAATTTGAGAAAACTGGATCAAAACGTAAACTTTTTGAATCCTCTGGAAAATCTGATAGTTAAATTCCACTTTCGAAACTAGAAGTCGATAACGTTTTTTCTTGACCTTTATATTTCGCTGTTCGATCGCTGTATTTGCTTTCCTTTTAACAGAGGAAATGAACTGAATTTAAAAAGAAATCAAAAGTCAAACCGCGAAAAAAATCAAACTGAGCTTCAACAAATTTTTTAAATTTTCCTGGAAAGAAAAGCAAAAAATCACCATAACCTATAAAAGAGTACTCACTACGTTCATTACTCTTAAACCGAAAAACAAATAATGAAAAATAATACTAATGAGTAATGAAAAAAATGCCATCTATGAGAGGCGAACCTCAAGTCTTCAGACATAGTACTCAAATCGACTTTCCTACACAACTGTGCCCTTGAATTTTACAGAATTATACCACTAGCCACTGATAAATTGGAGAATACGTGCTATCAAACTGTAAAGACTATGCCAAAACATGACCAATTTTATTATATCTTGCAAAAAACTTAAGCTTCATAATATCACACAATGCTCGCATGTGTAAAAAGGTAGAATGTTTAATATAACACAGCTGGCAAGCTCGAGTGCATCAAATTTTTAATACTAACTTGAATTACAAAAAAAAAATCTAAAGAGATTCTAACAAAATTATAAGCACCGGCGAAGCTGCGATTCGCAAACACTAGCGAGAAAAAGAACAAAAAAGCTGCTCTATTAAGTGAAAGAATAAGAAAAATAAGCCTAAAATTAGTGAAACTTTTTATACACGACGGATTCGAGCAAGCAACCTCGAGATTAAGAGTCTCACGTCCTTCCCATTTGACCACAGACGATTAACAAACGTCAAACACTAGCCACAAACAAAGCAGAGAACAGGTGCTAAGTGTAATAGTTACAGATTGTGATTACAGATAAAGTGCTACAAAATGAGCTCTTAGTTGAGAGTTAGATTGAAAAACAGTAGGTCCATCCTAATACACCATGCTAGCTAGAGTATAAAAGCCAACAGAGAGTTGGAAAAGAATCAATGAACAAAGTAAACAGAAAAAGATATATTAAATTGTTTTTTGAAAAGCCTTTCTTTCAAATTTCCACGGAACAAAAAAAACAGATTTAAAGCTCTTTGAATTGGATAATTTAAAAAAAAAACGCCTTAGAAAAGTTTATGATTATTACAAATTGGAAAATATAGCGATTTTCACAACTAGAAGTAGATCACGCTTTTTTGACCTTCACACTTTCGCTGTTCGATAGTTGAGTTTGCTTTCCTTTTAACAGAGGAAATGAACTGAATTTGCACAGAATCAAAAGTCAAACCGTGAAAACTCAAATTGAACCTGAAGAAGACTTTTCCTGGCAAAAAAAAAACGAAAAAAAAAAACTCGCCATCTATAGAAGAGTCTGAACTAAGTTCACCGACTCTTAAAAACGTTGTTTCAAACACAACTGTCAACCGATCACCTTTTTAGGCACACCGCTGGTCTCCACGTACCAAGTTTAAAGTTTTGCTTAAAAAACTTGCTGAAAAAATTAGCCTGGTCAAATTTTAACATTTTTTCTCAAAAAAAATACAAAAACACCATCACTTATACAGAGTCTTCATTGCGTTCATTGAACCTTAAAAATAAGCATTTTTTGTAACAACTCACTCTCAAATCAGAGGTTTGCCGATTCAGGCCATCCATGATCTTTACCTACTGCATTACAAAAAGAAAAAATAATAGAAGTCCAAAAATTGCATGCGCTAAATCAGCAAGTTTTCGTCTAGGTCGTTTCCCTTGTTAATAGTCTAGAAATAAAAAACCCAATATGAGCAAATAAGAGATTAGCTGGTATACTACATCAAACCAAAAATAAAAAGACAGTTGAAATCACAGAATGAACTCGAAAAGCAGAAAAAAACTAACAAAATGCTAAAGCATAGACACCAGACAGTTGGAAACGAGTCAACACAAAACAAAAAAAAATCACTCGTTTTTTTGAAAAGAAATTTAAATGTTCGAATTTCAAACGAAAAATATATGGCCTGAAAGATCTTTGAATTTGAAGACAAACTATATTTGGCAATTTTACCACTTTTTTGATAAAATTAACTCAATTGGAGAAAACCAATTACTAGGAAAATTTTTTAATCCGCAGGGAAATCTCATAATTAAATTCCATTTCGAAACTAGAAATCGATCACGGTGTTTCGCGCCATTTCAGCTTCCATAATTGAAGACTGCATTTTGCCTGCCATCTAGCAAATGAACTTTAATTGAACTCCAAAAGTGCATATATACCTAAGGGCTTTCATATTTGCATTTATCATTATGAACTCTATTTTTTATTTGAGAACTTGAGTATTTGAGAACTTTTCCGAAAAACCGAAAAAAATCATCACGATCTCTGTAAGAGTATGATCAAAATCCAAGAAAAATGTATCACATTAAACAAAGCTTTTTACTGAAAATATACTTTTTTTTTCAGTCACACTTTTGACAAATAGGCGAAGCTGCGACTTCTCAAACACGAGCGAGAAAGCGGTAAAGATTCAGGAGCTTTAAAATGCACAAAACTCAAATTTTGCATGTAAGAATTTAGAATGAAAAATTCTAAAGGCAACCACACTAACTTAACTAGTAATAAATTAGAATGCATTGAGCCAATTTGTGTATAAATTATGCATTTCAAAAATCATGCGAAGGATATCGATTTGGAAAATTGGCGAAATGGGATTTCAATTATTCTACTGTGGTATGAAGCAAATAGCTCTTTTCGCTTCAATTGATAGATTGAAAAAGCATCAACTGTCTAGCATAAATAAAATATCAACTGTCTAGCAAAAAAGCATAAATAAAATGTCAAAGCACTTGGCATTATGTTGTTAATGCAGCCTACGGATTCAAAAATTGCCAACAAAGAAGCACTTTTATTTTCGAATTAGGTTGGAAAAAAATACATCTCGTGTAAAAAAAGCTACGCTCGTGCAATGAAACAAACCAAAATTTAGAAAACTGGATCAACAGTTTTTATATTATTCCACTGGTAAATCTGTTAACTTAAATGACAGAAATCATTTGTCTCGACATTGACACTTTTGTTATTGGATATCGTAATTTGCATTATTTGGTTTAAAAAATCTTCAAGTGATCAAAACACAAACCGGCAAAACTGAGCGTGAAAAACAGTTGAATTCAAGCGACCTAAATAAGAAAAAATTCACCCCGTTCTCACTTTATAAACTGCTCATAACCTTAGCTAAATTAACACGAAGTCGAAGATGCACTTCACAAACACGAGCATAAAACGGCACTGGGATCCTTTTACACTCCCAGAAAATACAAAAATAGGCTTCAAAAAGAGAAGAAGCAAACTACGAGATTCGAAACTCGGATTTCCGGATTAAAAGTATGCAAAATGTTGTTGACGAAACCAAATGTCCTAGCTGCCTCATATAACTGACATGTCATCTTCTGAACATTCCAGTCGTTCCAACACAGCTGATAAATCACATACAAAAACGCATGCTTCATTGAGCACAACATAAAGCACTTATTCGTGCGAGTTATGCCGGAAAAAACTTAAGGTGTATCAGAACATACGCATTTGCTTGTTGACATCGAAAAAAGTACGTCCTGGGTACCTTGCAAAAACTGCTTCTACGATTAATGTGATCGGGATTCCCATATCTAGTCCAGTTTTTCCGGTCCACTTTCCAGTTCCTTTTTGACTGGCTGAATCCAGAATTTTATCTACTAAATGAACCTAAACATAATACAAGTAGGTTTATGAACGGTCATGAAAATTGCATGCAGATTGGTTTCAATGGCTTCTCTAACTTTCACTTCTGACTATAATCATAAAATGTCTAAGAGCAATTTCCATTACTGCTTTTTAAAAATATTTCCGGCAATAAAACTTTGGCAACTCTACGAAATAATCACAAAGCTTTTGAGGCTCAATTCTAAACTTAGATTAAACTAATATACAGCTCGATCGTTTTCTGATAATACCCTTAAATCAATTTGTAAAAATCAGTGCTATGACATCTTACATTGTCTGTGTCTCTAAACTTCATAATATCTCGACTGATTTCGATGAGAAATGACTCCAGTTCACTCTTGTTCCACTCATCAAAAACTGCACTGATTTCATCATTAGACAGTCCACACACTGACTTCAACAGGTGATAAGCCTCGCTGAAGAAGACGTTAAATGAACCAACACACCAAGTGATTCAGTTAAACTATTAAAGCCTGTTAAACTATTTGTTAACCCGATTTGATATATTCCGATTTCAAAACGATTGCTAATCGCAAGCGTAAAAACTACCTTAAACGCAACAGGGCAAAGCCGAATTATCCATCGCAACTAAATATTATTAGTAGCTTTCTAAACACGATTCGATCACTTACTATCTAACAACTTCGGTGCATATACAATACAGTCCCATACAAAACACTCCGACACAAAACAGTCCAAAAATCCTGAGACGAACAAAAAACACTGACAACAAAATAACAAAAAACAGTCCAGTTTAAGGTAGCCGGTAGCAATGACCGGCTCTAAATTTCTAATTTTCGTATAGAGTCCTTCCCTCTGTTGGCAACCTTGCAACACGTTGGCTCGACTGCGGCGGTCACTAATCTAGTGTTTATGTTGTTTGAACAAAAGAAAACATGTTGAGACAAACCCGGGGCCACCAAGATGGCCATGTGGACTCTGTAAGAAATCGGTGACCCGGAGAGGCTATTCAATGCAATGTGTGGACTGCAGGCAATGGTTCCACAGAGAATGCCTCGACATGAGCGTCAAAGAAATAAACGCACACAACAACTTCAGGTGGCACTGTGGCTGTGAACAGGAGCAAAGGCCTGCTTCAAGGAGGAGGGAGCGTGCCCCAACCCGGAGAGAACAAAGAAGACCGGAGGAAGAACAGGCACAGAACAACCACCGAAGAAACACGGGAATAGTCATCTGTCAAGTTAACGTGGATGGCTGGAGAGGTCGAGCAACTGTACTGCATAAATATTTGGAAGACCAGAAAGTGGACGTGGCGCTGTTACAGGAAACGAAGATGCTTGAGACGACACCGAGTGTAAAGATGGAGGGATCACAGACAAGAGAGAACCGTCCACAGGGTGGGTAACCAGCAACCCCAAGGAGGCGTGGCTATCCTCACCCGGGAAAGTCTCGATGTCCAAAGACTAGACAAGCTGAGCCTCCCCAACCATGCAGCTCTGGAGTCGATCGGCGTTGAAGTCAAGACGAAGAAAGGAAGAGTGAAGATCTGGAACATGTATCGGCCCCCGGCTCGTGGAGGAAACTCCGACAGCAGGGAATCAGAGCTTTACCTTTCCGGGTGGCCGAGCGGAAAAGATGTCATCATAGGAGGAGATGTAAACGCACATGGTGTCTGGGACCACAGTGGAGAGACAGACCAAAGGGGCGAAGAAATCAACGACTGGATGGCATCTAAAAACATGGTAGCTCTCAACGATGGAGCACCTACCAGGAACAGAGGCTTGCAGGCGACGGCTCCGGATATGACGATAGCGCATGCTAGCCGTCTACACCTGATAAAATGGGAGATCGGAGATAATCTCGGATCGGACCACCTCCCGTTGCTGGTGAAGTTTGCGACTGCAGAGCCGGTTAAGAAGAAAGCGGAACGCAGAAACTTTAACTAAAAACGGGCGGACTGTGAAGGTTTTGCCGAAAAAGTGGACGACCTGGTGGAAGAAACATGGAAAGAAGAAGGATCTCTCGAAAAGTGGTACAAAGACTTCGTCGACATTGTCATGAAAGCGGCGAAAGCAAAAATTCGTATGACCTCTAGCAGAAAACGACAAATACCGTGGTGGAACGAAGAGTGCAATATGGCGAAAGAAAGAATGAAGGAGAGCTTCGACGAGTGGAAAAGAACTAAAGAAGAAAGGACCTGGACAGCCTATGAGACAGCGAAAAGGAACTTGAGTCGGGCAGTTGCAGAAGGAAAGCGTGACTCGTGGAGATCATTCGCGTCGACACTGGACGCCCACACCTCAGGTACAAAGATCTGGAATACCATCAAAGGCATCGACGGAAGGAGCAAACAACCGCTTCCAGTCAACCAGATCTTATCGGGAAACTGCACTGCACGCTCCAACAAGGAGAAAGCAGATCTCGCAATGAAGACGTATGCCCAAGTCAGCAGAGTACAAGTGGACAGAGTCAAGTCCAAAGCAGCGTACACAGAGGTTCGAGAACACCTTAAGAAAGAACCCGAGAAATGCGACGACACCGGCATCGAGTTTTCGCCGAGCGAGCTGTACAAAGTGCTTAGCAAGACCAAGAATAGTGCAGCAGGAGAGGACAGAGTCACGCCTCAGATGCTGAAACACCTCTCGTACTCCGGCCAGGAACTCCTGCTGAAGATTTTGAACAGGAGCTGGGTGGAAAGCCGTGTCCCAGCCAAGTGGAAACAGGCAGTGATCGTGCCCATCAGGAAACCGAAAAAGCCAGCGGATGCGATAAAGAGCTATAGGCCGGTTTCCCTCCTCAGCTGCGTTTCCAAGGCGCTTGAAGCTTAGGTGACAAACAGGCTAAAGAAGTGGGTGAGAACAAACAACATCATTCCGGTGGAACAATCAGGTTTCCAACAGCGCAGGACCACTCAAGACGTACTGGCGAACATCACCCAGTCGGCGATGGATAACCTGCAGGCCAAGAAGAGGACTATCGTAGCGGCGGTGGACTTCAGAGCGGCTTTTGATAGAGTCTGGCGGGGAGGTCTCCTCAGAGACATGGCGCGCCTAAACCTTCACCCGGTTGCTGTGAAGTGGCTTCAGTCCTTTCTGAGGGACAGACGGGCGGTTGTGCGATGGGAAGATAAAACCAGCAGATGCCGTAGCCTGAAAGAAGGAGTACCCCAGGGCAGTCCCCTGTCGCCTTTGCTTTTCTGCATAGCAACGGCAGGTCTACCCGGCGCTATCAAGGCAATGGCTCCTAGCGCTGAGGTAGACCAGTTCGCCGACGACCTCACTGTTTGCACAGAAGACACGACAGTAGAGGGAGCGGCCAAAAAATGCAGCCAGCTCTCAATGCGATCGAGATATGGGCCAAGGAGAACGAAGTGGAGATTGCAACAGACAAAACGGAGGGGGAGGTGATTAGCTTGGACCCCAGAGAAACAGCGGGGAAGGCAGTCCCTGAGCTGATGATGGACAACACAAGAATCAGATCGGAGAAACAAGCGACAATTCTTGGAGTTTCCATAGACTCCCAGCTGACCTTCACGAGTCACTGCCAGAACATGGCGAAGAAAATCTCGAAGAGGACACAAGTACTTTCCGCGTTGGCGGGGAAGAACTGGGGAATCGTGGCGAACAATCTCCGCAGTGTGTACTGCAGTTATGTCCGACCGGGAGGACTCTACGCTTCGGAAATTTGGGGCCCGTTTCTAGCCAGGACCAACATCAACAGGCTAGAAGTTGTCAACAACAGGGCAGCGGCAATAATAACGGGTACCCCACGCGGATCCCCAGCAAGCGCGATCAAGTGCGAAGCCATGATTCAGAACATTGACCTGATCATTGCGGACGGAGCAGCCATGCAGATGGTAAAGTACCTTGAGCTACCAGAAGACCATCATCTGCGTAAACTGGCAGAGAGAGAAGTCACCCCGAGACTGAAGGCCAAAGCGGAGAACTCCTTCAGACCCGACTGGCGCAGGGTAACAAGAAACAGGGTAAACGAGCTGCCACAGGGTATGGATCCAAGAGAAGCGATCCTGAGAGGAAAAGATGCAAAGAACGAAGAAAGGTACCAGACGGAAACACCACCAAACTCAACCCACCGACAAGCTTGCAACGGAGAACATCTACCACGCTCAGTAAACAGAACGCGCGCAGAAGAGATGTTTCTGTACAGACTGAGAGTAAACAGAGAAACATCACTCAAGGACACCAAGTACAGATTCCGGCTATCACAGAATCCTATATGCGTGCACTGCGATGAGGAAGAACCAGAAACAACGGAACACTACCTACTGAAGTGCACAAATTGGGACCGCGCCAGAAAACAGCACCTGGGAAGAAACCCAACCTTGACGCTTTTGCAGACCAACCACATTAACATCATCTTATTCGCAACAAGCACTGGACATTTCAAGTCCCCCGATTATCAAGAGGGCTCCTAAACTCACACACACACACACACACACACACACACACAAAATAACAAAAAACAGTCCAGTTTAAGGTAGCCGGTAGCAATAACCTGCTCTAAATTTCTAATTTTCGTATAGAGTCCTTCCCTCTGTTGGCAACCTTGCAACACGTTGGCTCGACTGCGGCGGTCACTAATCTAGTGTTTATGTTGTTTGAACAAAAGAAAACATTCGTCCTACCGATTTTGAAAAAAGAATTATCACATGGGACTGTTTTGTATCGGACTGTTTTTCGTTAATTTCCATACTTTCCCGGACTGTTTTGGATCGGACTGTTTTTTTAAATAATTTCCATACTTTTCCGGACTATTATATACAGAAACCAAAATTTCGAGCAGCAAATTCAACATCTTTCCATTTTCAATAACTTCCCTTTTACAACAAGTTCTCTTGTGGATGCGAAAATGGTTGCTAGTTGCTGTTCTAAACTTTGATAAAATTAACTTAACTTATTATACGCTTGTCTCGCATATCAAAGATACTAGCGTGTAACGCACCTTCGGTGCTTCAAACAGATTGACAAACGTATATATATAATTTATGAAAAAACAACGAAATGAATGCAGAAGGGCTTTCTAACAGCGCTTTTTATTTCAAAAATTGAACAATAGCTCTTTTAAAAGTTAAATGTTGAAATCTCCAGAACTACTGGGTTTCAGATCTTCGTATTTTCAACTCAGAAACCAAACCCTAAAACGGCCGTTAGCAAGCAACTGCACCACATTTAACGATTTCATTGGCGAAATCTTAGAACTCATAAATGAGACTCTTGTTCAACTAGTTCATTAAAACGTCTTAACTAGGAGAGTGAAATGCGTTCATCAATCACAATTTGAGCCTGCAAAAATTTCCAGTGAAGACCTTGGCAACACCCTAACATAGTGTTAAGAATTTCAAACTTAAAATTTTAAGATTAATTTTTGAGAAAGTTTTAAAAATATTGAAGAAACGTCGTCTCGGAAAGTTAACGCAATTGAGCGGCCGCAACTGAAGGGAAGAGTCGAATTACTACCCCTGAGAGTACCCCCGACAAATCCCAAAGACCAGGTTGGGAATTTCAACTTCTGTGAAATTTTGTAAATCTAAGTTTTGTGAAAACTTCAATTCTTAAAATTAAAAATCTTTAAAGAACGCCACATATCTGAAACTACAAGCATTTGAACATTCATATTTGGTGACAAGACTTGCAACGGCTGGGAATACCCTGACAGTGTCTCAGTATGGAGATTTGAATTTCAATTTTCTTGATTTTTTTCTACATCTTGTTTTTTTTTTTGAAAAATCGTAAAAAACGTCATATCTCGAAAACTACAAAGAATTAAGCAGTCATATTTAGAGGCAAAATCGTCAACCTCTGAGAGTATCCTCACAATACCCAACTACAGGATTGAGACTATCGTATTTTTTTGAAATTTTGAAATCTTTTGAAACATTTTGAAAAAATCATAAGACTACAGAAAACTACAAGGATTTGAGCAGTCATATTTAAAGGCAAGATTCGCAACTACTGAGAGTAATCTGACAGCACCCAACTAGGGTTGAGAATATCAAATTTTGTAAAACTTAAGTTTTCTTAAAATTTTCGAAAAATCCTAAAAATCGTCGTATCTCGTCAACTAAAATGTTTTGGTTTTCATAATTGGACGCCAAATTTGCAACAGCTTGAGAAACTTGACAACATCCAACTTTAGGCTAGCTAATTTCCAACTTGGTGAAATTAACACTAAACTCAAACTGGAAAATCGAAAAAAAAATCTTAACTATTGCAATATACGATATAGCTTAGACGTGAAAAATTCTTTCGTTAAACATGCAAAAATAATATGTTGAAAAAGCCTACACATGGCGAGGCAGTGAAGCACGCATTTAAATAAATAATAGATAGATTGCACTTTCTTTACTCGAGCTTAATTTTAAATAACATTCGAGTGCGTGTTGTTAGTTCGTCCGACGTCTCATGGTGTTATTGAAAACAGGGATTGCAAAGTGTTTTCAAGAATTTATTCACCTGGTTTCGATGGTAGAATTTAGCCAAGTGAAAAATTTTTTGCAAAATTATAATCAAAATACAATGAACTTAAATCACGCGACTGATCAATATTATTTTCAAGCAACAAATGAACGTTAAAATTTTCACAGATTATGCTGAATGTCAAGGTTCAGTATGGTACACCCTTTAAACGAACACCCTTCAAGCTTTAATTATTACACCTAACATCGTTTCTTAAAAGGAAAATTCAGTGCCTGACGGCATGAAATATGGAAAAATAAATCATTCTTCACTTTCTCTGCTTAATCAAGCCAGAAAAAAGCCTAAATCAGATTCATTGTTATATTAAAAGCTCCATTGGCCCACTCCGTGCAATCAGGGATGGATTAAGACCTTATCCCTTTATTAGATTTCCTGTCTTCCACCTCATGATTGTATGTGGTCTTTATTTTAGAGAATCTGCAGCTCGATTAAAACCAATATAAGATTTCCATGCAAGTTTACCTATTGACTTTCTGAGTTGAAGTAAGTTTAGAATACTACTCGCTTTTTACCGCAAACAAAACAAGAATTTCAATCCACCTTTAAAATTTCAAAGAATTCATAATGAACTTATCTTTGGACCACAGATTTTTTTGAAGCAACTAGAGCTGCTGGTTAAAAGGAACCTATCTCATACACTTTTTAGAAATGACAAATTTCACCTATATGATAACAAAGAATCATCAAAGTTATAATTAAAACAAGCGCAATTATAACCAAATCCGCAACTTTTTTTCGAAGCAAAACGTAACTGGTAACAGGCAAAATAACCTATCAAATTGGACTTTTTCGGAATTATGCACTTCTTTCATAAGTTAACCAAGAGTCATCACAATTAACACTAGTTAGCGGTTTTATCTTGATCTAGTGAGTTCGTGCGCTGCAGTTTACAAAGTGAGCTCTTGTACGATAGCCATAGCTTAGTTGACCTTAAATAACTTGCCTCCAGGGTAGGCTTTTTAACCAAATGCCAATATAATATAATTACCACTGACCTGATGAGCTGCATGTCTCCATATTCTATTCCGTTGTGTACCATTTTCACAAAGTGCCCCGCCCCCTCCGACCCCACCCAGTCGCAACAGGGCTCCCCCTCACTCTTGGCCGCAATAGACTGGAAGATGTCTGCAAAAGAAACGGAGAAAGTAGAATTAAACATAGCCACGATACAAAAACATAGCCGAGCAGATCGCACAGTGAACATGAACAAATCGAACAGCGCTCGAAAAAATCCAACTGACAGCTGCAAAAGCGTTACCTATTTCAAGGAAATATATAGAAAATTGACTCTTCCAATTTTTGAATTACAGGAAACAAACTAATTCACATTAAAATGCTTTGGATTTCAACAATACTTCATTATTTGACATTTTGTAAATAAAACTACCTAATTTGAAAAAAAAGGATAAACATAATGGATGGTCTGCTGGGAATTCTAAATGAAGAAAAACCAACTCAAGTTAAATCAAAGTGAAGTTCATTTTCAAGCCAATTCAATTTTTGCAATTGGAGAGCATAACTTCTATATGATAAATGAATTAGAATATGGACTCAAAACTGATCAAAATTAAAGAAACCGACAGTTCATCACAATTACAAGAAAAATACAGTCCATATACAGATAGCCAGGTTCAATCCGCTCTGCATCCATGCTCTAGTCCACAGTAAACTAGAGAACATATATAAGTTGATCTTGAACGGCCGGTTAAAGTTACCTCAAAAAGTCGAATCAACGCATTCTCTTCCAGTTGGAACGAGCAGAACTTAACCTTCCTCGACCAAGTGAGATTAAATGCCGCGAATAAGAAATTTATCATCCTCAAGGCCATGTTGGAAACAACAAACCAAGTGGAAGTTCCCAGCACGCTAGAGGGCATATAAATATAGAAAGATAGCAGCCAATATCAGAAGAATTGTGCCTTGCCCGTCATCACTCCTGCTAGCACACATTGGCCTGGCACTGGAGGCTCTATACTCCATTTATTCATTCAATCAAACCTATAGTATGTTTCGATATCAATAACACTTAGCGGTGAGTTGATCGTTTGAACATTTCATATAAAAGCACATGCATTAACCACTGAACTATAACAATTTTGCCATTTTTTTTCAATAAAAATGATTGACGCCTTTTTGATAAACCAAATTGCAGAGAACAGGATCAATAGGCAATTTGTTGGAAAAACTTTGTTGGAAAATCAAATTCCATTATCAAAACTAAAAGTCGATCACGTTTATCGTCAACTTTGCACTTTTGCTAATCAATAGTGGAGTTTGCTTTCTTTTAAACAAAGGAAATGAACGGAACTTAAGAGAAAAGTCAAATTTGAGCCTGAACAAACTTAAATACATTTCCTGAAAAAATTTAAAAACTCATCACAACCTAAATAAGAGTCTGAACTACGTTCTTCGAATTTTACTAATCGAATTTTACTAATCAAATTTTAAGAAAATCAACTCGTGCTCTGAACTCATTCCACTATTTTATCTGTTCTGGTGTACTAGCGCATGACTCGCACCTAAGGTGCTTCAAATAGATTGTTGAACGTCAAAAGAGCTTTCTCAAGTACATTAAAAAAACATTTAATGCAACCGTAATTTTAAACTGGGCCTATCCATTAGGACTTATTATCTCAATAGGGTTGACAATTTCAAGTTCTGTTAGTTTTAATCAAACAAAATTTTTCAAAAAAAAAACAAAAACATAGAAAACGCCATATCTCGATAATCGAAAACATTTAAGCATTCACATTTGGAGGGACAAATTGCAACCCCATAGTGTACCTGGAGAGTACCCCGCCGTGGGGTTAAGCATTTCACCCTCGGCTAGATTTTCTTCAAGTTAAAAACCATTAAAACGTCATATTTCGGAAACCAGATGGATTTGAGCAGTATTAGTTTTGAGAGTTTCAATTTTCTCAAACAAAATATCAATTTTCAATTTTCTCAAACAAAATATTTCAATAGAACATTTTCAATTTTCTCAAACAAAATATCAAATTAAAAACGAAAAGCTTTTAAAAGATTGCATTGCGAAAGAAGACAAAAAACTGTACAGCTAAAGCATTCACGCTTCAACAGACGTATAAATTAAAACAATAGATGATCTTGGAAACAAAAAAATGTACAATTGGCATTTTATTAACCAAGTTACTATAGGGACTTCATAAACATGTGTCAGGTGAAACGCCAATTAAATAACGGTCAGAAATGTGTAGAGTAGAATGGCATAGATTAGGTTGGAATGAAGTAAAATGTCAAAGAACCAATTTCAGACAAGCTATTTGGAACTATAAACATAGTTCTAGAAGCTAAACACATCGCTTTAGGAAGAGTTAACAGAAATTACTTAATTTTTTCAAAAAAAAATTGGCAGGCAGAAGACTAAAAAGCCGTTACAAAGTATTAATGACTGGTGTTTGCTTACCTTTGATGTGTGGCCATGCTTCTGGGTTTCCGCCCGGCATCAGACTGGGTCCATATCTGGCTCCATCCTCTCCGCCCGAAACACCAGTTCCAACGTATAGAAAGCCCTTGGCCGCTAACTCCTTACAGCGCCTAAAACAATACTTCAAGGTAGGGATGCATCTAAAATTTTATCGAGATGAGGCGGATGCTCAGGTGAATTTCATGAGGTGAAGTTCATGTATTTTCGCCTAGATTAGTTATAATGCGCAACCCCTCTCTTGTTAAATTCTCAGGAGTTGATCTTTTCACGCGAATTAAATTTATACTATCAATTCATTTATGAAGTAGTAGAGCAGTATTAACAAACAGAGGCTAAGCAGAGCTTCGCACCACTTGCGATACAAAACAAATATTATTAAAAAACATAGAAGCTAGTCATATACACTTTCATATGTCTCAATAGAAGTTCATTCCAGGCAAACATGCCAGACACTTGAATATTAAATCAGCAACAGCGGAACAAGTTTTACGAAAAAAAAACAAAGCCGACAATCTTTGAGCAGACACAAGTTAAGCCAAAAAAAATGTGATTTTGTAAAAAGTTCAGTCCCTCCTTAAACAATTAAGCCAACAAGCCAAGAAAATTGCTTATAACAAGGCAACTCATATCAATGGATAGTACCGCAATTGCAGCCAATCGGTCAGGTTGCGGAGTAAAGAAATCTCTAGACAAAATCACATGCGGAGAACCAATCTCAAGAGATACAGGGAAAGTAGGGATTTGCTACTCTGATCTACTGATTTCAGGTAGCGTTGTTAATCCAATCACAAATCCTCTCAGTTATTTTCTGTTATACGACGAAAAAATCTCAAATTGTTAATTGAGCGTCTGTTTTCATTGAATCTCCATTTTGATCAGTTTTTCTCTTTCCAACCAGAAAAAGATCAGTTTTTGGGCTGCAAAACAGAAGGCCCATTTCGAAGCCCGTCCCACTTTGAGGAGGCGGATGACACTGGGACCCCTGCAACCATTACCGAAGAGGGATTCGAACCCCCGATTTTCGTGTTAACGTAAGCCTGCCCACTCGGCCACGGCCGCTCTCTCAGAAAAAAACCATCCTCTCACCTGGTTGAGTCGTTGAAATCGGAGTTGCCTCCGTCTATGATGATGTCTCCTGGTTCCATCAGAGCTGTGAGGTTATTGATGAAATCATCCACGGCTGAGCCCGCCTTCACTAGCAACATCACTCGCCTCGGTCTCTTCAGCTTAGACACCATATCCGCAAGTGAAGTGGCGCCTGAAATATTTGATTACAACAATAAATTCGTTTTCAAGAAGGGAACATACTCAATTATTATTTACACAATTCTTAACAATAAAAAAATCCCATCTTGGAAGAACACCAAAAAGGCCGGTTAGCTGTCTATCGAGTGGTGTCTTCATGAGAAAACAACATTTTAATTCTGTAGGGCAAAACTTGATTTTCCCTCCACATCCTATCCACATATGAAATGACACCTGAAGCAGGGCATATTTGACAGTTGGATCCCAAAAGTCAAGTTATGTTTTTTAAAAACTGAGGAAATTGAACCATTCCGAAGCAGCAATCACGTCTGCTCACTATAAATTTTCAAAAGCAGTATGTTTTTATATATTTTTCATCCGTGAGGCGAGGATTCGTAACAGGTAACAATTCGTTAGAAGCGACAATTTGGAACATCGTAGCAGTGGCTTAACACTTATTCGCGGTCACTATACCTCTTGTGCCGAATGTAAGCGCAGCGGAGCAAGCTACCACAACTTACCAATGCCTTGTAACGACTGTCGCTTGTTACGACTTGTCGCTTGTTACGAATTGCCGTCCCGTCATTTTCATCAATCAAATTTCTCGATTTTTAAGATATAAACTAAACTCCTACCAATGATATTAGTTCCCTTCGCCTCATTCTGCAGAAACTCATCTACTTTCGAGACAGTCCTGTTGAATGCACAGACTGTGAAGCCATGATCGTTCATGTTCATGATCAGATTCTTGCCCATAACTGCCAACCCAATCAGGGCTATATCTGCTGTGGCTGTTGTCATAGTTTTGGAGGTATTAAGACACGAGGCAGGCTCAAAACAAATGCAAAACAGAGACACGCAAATAAACTCTGAAAAAAAAACAGAACACTTAAAAACGAGTATTAATAAATTCCAAAACGAATCAAGATATCAATACGGCTCTTAACATGCATTTACAAAAAAAAAACAAGAAACAAATCTTAGGAAGCCAACCAGCGAATCATAGTCAGCATGACGATTCGTTTCCGCAACTTGTTACCACATCACTATTTTTCTTGTTACATTATCAAGCAACTTGTTACATCATCAAGCAACTTGTTACCTCATCACTATTTTTTCGAAGAACAGATTTGGAAAAAAAAGGAAATTATCTGAATTTGAATTGATTCATGTGGGAGTTATGAATTCATACATTTTATCTATTTTCCAGATTTTATCACAGCTTTTTTTCATTGTAAAAAAGAGCCAGATCAGAGCTTCTTCACACTTGCGATACAACAAAAACATTACAATACAAGATAGTGACGAGAAAAAAGGAAGTCGTAACTTTTTTAAAATAAAAGGCTACTTAAATAAAAAAGTTAAGAAAATTGCTTTACAAAAGTCAAACATTCACACCATTGTCTCAGATAAAATTCAACAACAACCTAAAAACCTAAATACAGCATTGCAAACTAAAAAAGAATGAAAGGAAATCCAATACATCAAAAAACAGTCAACCGAAGATTGGAAAATCTAACGAAGCGAAGCTGTGCTTCGCGCCACTTGCGATACAAAACAAGAAAACCGGTACGTCGGAAAAAATCGATTAAAAAATTAAAATGTAAAAAATTAGATCTAGCAACATGATTCAGGCTAGTTTTGAAATCAAAAACATGCCAAGACAATAGAAGTTGAAATAAGCATCAGAAGAAAAATACCAAGCGGTAACAAAGCCGAAAATACCTTAGAAGAAACCCTATATACCTAGAAAAAAATCAACACGACAAGAAAACAGTTAACAAGCCCCCCTCGCCCTCAAAACAAGAAAAAACACATTAATTTTTTTGTTCATCCAATGAAACGATATGAGGCCACTAAACCGATATAAAACAGGCCGAAAGCTATTAAGCCGTAAAAAAATAAAAAAGCCTAAGCAAATCCGAAAAAATTATTATTTTCCCCTAAGCCTTAAAACACGCCCGCAAACATAATTTTTTCGCTCGTCGAAAGACGCATTATGAGGCCATTAGACCAATACAATATTGGTCGAAAGCAGTCAAGCCGAAAAAAGGAAGAAAAAAAACAAAACAAAAGACGAATAAAAGGTTGTCATGAAAATTTGAACAATAACTTCTATTAAGAATTATGCAATCGGTGCAATCCCGAGGTGAACCTAAGAAATACGTTTTACTAAACGACTCAAAATTAGGTCACTGAGTCGATAAAATATATAAGCCCAAATCATTTGGGTAGCAACAAGTTTAAAGCGAAAAAAAAACAAAGAAAACACGAATTCAAGAAACTACAAACAGCACAGTAAATCAAAACACTAAGAGCAACTATAAGGAAAAATGCGTATAGCAAGCAAAAAAAATCTACGATGCGGCAACTAAGCCGACAAAACATAAGCAGACGAATATTAAGCCCACTATTTTTTGTAACGGAATATTTCCAGTTTGAAAAAAAAACAGGTCCTGTCAGATTCGAATCTAGAACTTTTGCGGTCCCGGTCGTATTTGCAAACTCCACGCCAAGTGTCCCGGAGATGCAAAGAAAATTGAATTAATTATGAACATAACCTAAAACTACCAAAAAAAAGTCCAGCACTCGATTGCAATACCCTTGCTTATCGCAAGGGTAAAGAGCAAGGAAACCGAGAAGATTAATAGACAATTTAAGAACAATTTTCAATTTTCGCAGCAATAAATTAATCAAGTTAAATCGCTTTGAAATTCAAGAACTGCTAATACTTTGAATTTTTTCAAAACCCATCCCATTTTAAGAAAACAGGATGAAACCCGTTATTGCGTCGAACCCCGTTGAGCTAAAAATAAAACTTGTCATTACATCAAAAAAATTGATAGAACGCAAATATCCAAATTCGGAAGGAGTTGAAAATAATCTGAAATATTTTTAGGGAATCAGAAATTTTATGTTGTGAACTCCTTCAAGTATCTTGGGGTTGTGGTAAATAATAAGCTCTGTTTCAAGCAACACAGAACATGTTTGTAAAAAATTAGCTAAATTTAAGGGAACTCTTTGTAAAGCAAGAAATGTTTTTTCTAGGACATTTCTTCTTAGATTTTATCAAGTTTCTGCAAAACCTTCAATATCATACGGCATCTTAGTTTATGGATGTGCGTCCAGGACAAATTCAAACAAAATTATTTTAATGCAAAAGCGAATTCTTAGAACTATTTCTTTATGCGCAAATTTGATCACATTATGGAAAAGTTTTCAGAACATAATATTGATACCGTTTTTGACTTGTTTCTTGATACTGTTTTTAAAGAAGTTAATTATCAAATACTTGGTAAATCGTCAGTATAGTTTTTGGATTTTAACCAACTAAATAACTGTAGACAAACACGTGCCCGTAGCTTGAGAATGTTACGTTCAAAATATGTTAGATCAAACAGCTTATTACAATCGGTTATCGTTAAAGTGCTGATAGTCTTTCTCCAGAGAACTTGAAAGATATGTCAAAATCTCAATTGAACTCATATTTACAAAACACTAAACGTAATTTTGTCACAGATAGTTTTGAACTCCTTCACCTGATATTTGACAAGTGATCTAACTTCTAACTTTTCTTTCTCCTCAACTTATTCTGTAAAAGTCTACCTTATGGGACGTCTCCTCGAGGGGCCTTCGGACCCGTGAGCTCGATCCATGTGAGTATCTTATGACTGATGCTTGTTAGTTATATGTGCCCATTAAATAATTCAAATTTCAAATCCACAGTAGCCTACTATTAGGATAAATACTTGTTCAGCCTAAGCAATCGATAAAAAGAAAAATACAGTTTAAAAAGAAGTGGTTACATCTGCACGTGTCACTTGAAAGGACGGGCGTTCGAGGCCCACCATGATCCGTGCTCGTTGATTGATGGTGAGGCAACATTACCCAGCCCAGAAAAGCGATCGAAAAATGCATTAAATTGTGTTTGTTAAATTGTGGTTGTTCTCCGTATTGAACTGAACATCGTATGTTGGCCAGACCCTTTCCATGGAGGATAAATCGTCTTAATGCAGCATTGCTAGCACTCTCGGCCAACTAAAACTTGAACGGCCAATGATTACCATCCACTTTTCGATTTATTTCAAAGCATATATCGATAATAACATGCAAACATGATTTCACTTCAACACCATTGTAGTATAACTTATCAAATAGCTGATGTCACTCTTAATCTCATGTTAACAAATTTGGAAGGTGCTTTATCTTCAGACACGCAGCAATTGAATTAAAGTATGCTTGACTGTCACAGCTGGTAATTTGACCACTATGAATATTAACTAACTAACGTGCTTGTCTAACACGCCTATACCATGTAAATCTTATTTATCTATTGTAAGTATTATCCTTGACACAGTGATATGAACAAGAACCAGTATGTTTGAAAGCATGAAAATAAGAGGAAATCAACTAGGCATCTTTGCACACCAGACTATGATGACGACAGCAAGCAGGCAATTTTAACACTCCATCTCATTTAACGTCATTCCGATTCCCTTTTCTATGAAATTGATGAAAATGCACTTTTTAGTAATTTCCTTTTACGCATAGCCACACTCGTAGAAGCGGTTTTACTTCACCTCAATTTAATTAAAAATGTTACCAGAAAATGAGTCAAACTTGACACTCGATTTTAGATCAGGGCATCAACTTAGTTAAGCACGCAAATACTGATATGTCTTAAGTACATCCACAAAATTATAAGCGGCAATTGAGTGCATGGGTCGTTTCTGCTATACGCCCAAAATTATGGAATTGTTAATTAATCTTCGTTTTTTTTTAAATTCAATTTGCTAAATTTTTGTACTTTCTGAAATTGTTTTTTTTTTCTGTCATGTTGAGTGAAATAAGTTCTTCTTCTTTGTTTTTAATTGAAAATAAAGATTATCTTTTGCTGGTAAAAATTTAGACCAATCAGATTCGAGCATTAGAACCCAATTTTCAAAACGACTTATAAACAAGTTTTGGGCCGTATAACCAAAAAGACCCGAGTGGCTATGCGGATCTGAACTCTTTAGTTACCAATTTCTCCTTTCTAATTATATCTTTCGTAAATTTTATCGGAAATCTGTTCCAACCCACCGTTATAAAAATAAAAACGGATTTGCAGCAAAAATAACACAAATTTGATCGCAGAGCGTCAGCCGTATTCAAACATGATATTTTGAACAGAGCAGAAATGAATTAGACTTTGAAAGTATCACAGCAGGTATTTAGAACACTTTAAGTACAGTAAATAACTAACTAATTTTATTCAACGACTGGTTAAGCTACGTCATCAAGAGTACCATTTGAACGTCCCATGTGTCAATTCAGTATATAATATCCTTGACACAGCAGCATATAGAATTTCTACAATTGCAGTTCGGGTTATATTTGACCTTTTTGGTAAAAAGGAAGTTCTTGGTTTGAAAAAAAAAAGGAGTGAGGATGCATTTTCATCAGTTTAACAGCAGAGTATTTTTTGACTTTCAATTGAAATTGAGTTGAAATTGAGTCTTTGAACTACCTATCGGAAAAAACTTTTAACAGACTGCGAGAGATTGAATTTTAAAAAATGATGCCGGTAATAAGCAGTTAATTTCTCTCACAATGCATAAAATTTAATTTCAGACACTCCATATATCAACTAAATGTCACATTTAATTTTTATTCTTACCAACCGCTAAGATATGCGTGAAACAAAGCTGCTAGAAGCCTTTTAATTTCTACTCAATCAAAGTATTCTCTCTAGATAGGGAATATAATTTAATATAACATGACACTTGTCGATTTTTCCCGCATGAAGGACAAAACTTTAACCAACATGAAAAGTAAACTGCTCCAATCGCTGCCAAAAAACCTATGGCTGAAATTATGCTTAAACACAGA